TCTCTCTCTCTCTCTCTCTCTCTCTCTCTCTCTCTTTCTATTTTTAAAAATATATCCTTATTGATTTCAGAGAGAGGAAGGGAGAGGGGGGAGAGAGAGAGAGAAACATCAATGATGAGACAGTCATTGATCGGCTGCCTCCTGTGTGTCCCCACTGGGGATCGAGCCTGCAACCCAGGCATGTGCCCTGAGTGGGAATTGAACCGCTATCTCCTGGATCATAGGTCGATGCTCAACTGCTGAGTCACGCCCGCCGGATGCCACACTTCTTTCTTAAAGGTTTGATTCTGGACTCCAAAAGGAGCTTCTGGACCTGGCCTTTTGGTGCAGGGCAGGGAGGTGGCCCCGGGTAAGCCACATTTCCCAGCCTTTCTTGCAGGGGTCTGTTTACCTCTCAGGGCTGTGTTTTATCTCCCATAAAAGGAGAACCAGGTAATTTCTAAGGCCTTTCCTAGGTCTAACGTCCAAAGCTCAGTGCTCCCAGGCTGGGAGCATTTTGAAGGAGGGGCTGCAGGAGTTCACCATCCAGTGCAGAGGCTGGTCTGGCCCTGGGAGCTTGTGGAGTAGTGATGGAGCTAGGGTGAATTAGTCTCAGAGTGACATCTGAGCCCTCTGTTAACACTGTCTCAATCATGACTCTGCCCCTAGTTCTGAGGTGCTGGCCACAGCAGTCAGGGGCAGGGGACAGAACACAGGCCCTGGAATACCTGACCCTGAGTATCACCGCCTCCTCTTCCTGCCTGGGCCACTCAGTCTCTCCCAGCCTGCATTTTCCTCCTCTGTACTAAGGGACAACGGTTCCTTTCCCTTAGTCTCTTTAGGGGGATTTGAAGAGGAGAATATATGTAACAGGATAAATATGTAACTTTATCAAATCACTAAATCAATTATACCAAATTCCGAGAGGGGAGGGAGAGCGAGAGCGCCTCTCAGAGCAGTGGGGACAGGAACAAGCCCCTCAGAATGGTGCATGGCTGTGTGGGACACTTGGGGACCCTCAGCCTCAATAAAACTCCCCAGGGCCCCAGACTTGGCACAGAAGCAGCAGAATCTCCCGCCAGGAAGGGATTGCGTCCTCTGTGGAAATAGGTGTCTCCATGGTAACCAGGGCAGGTGGATGATCTGGTCCAAGGCGCCTCCCCGATGCTCTGGTGCTACAGAAAACCCTGTG